GAACCTGATTCAGTTTGCCAGTCCTGCCGACGGCAATGTACATGCATGAATTGATAGGCCTATCTGTAATCGTTTTGTGTTAAATGTTTGTAATGTACTATGACGATACCTCCAGAAGATCCACTTCTTTTTTTAAATACTGACGATGGTGGAGTTAAAGAACCACCAAAACATATGTAGCAAGTAAAATTTGACACTGGTATATTAAGGATTGTCTGACAAGGTGTGTTTTTAACATTCTTAGAAGCAGGGCAAAATGTTGTTGGTGTTGATAGTGAGCTACTTAGAAACACTTTTTCGGGCTGCTTATACAAAATTATAGCCTACATTCATTATGACAGCTAGCAAAAAAAATCCCCCCAAAATCCCCTAAAAGAAGTCCCCTCCAAAAATTCCTGTGGCGCAAACGCGCCACAGTACCCCCCCTCTGGGCTCCCCTGGATGAGTGTCTTGAAGATGATGGGGATTGATGGTGGTCGTCTATCGTAGTATTTGGATAAGATATTGTCTCAGCTACATTATTTGAACCTTGATTAGAATGATTAGGATTTTTAATAATGACAATTTCACCTCTAGGTCCGGTCGATGATGGTTGTGTATGTGTAATGACAGTGGTAGGTGGTAGTTATGCCCATGACTTAGTAGGGGTGTACCATCTAGTTTATATACAATCTCCCACGCTTGAGCTTCTTGCTCTCATATTTGAATGGTATCCTCTTGAGATTCCGTTTTGGCTTGTAGTGGTATTTGTTCTTGTAATGTCCTTGTATTTTTGTAATTTCTCTAGATCATGGAGTTCTTCCTCAACTTTATTAACTAATGCAAATGTAACAGGACATTCTTTTATAAAAATTGGTTTGAAATTTTCACTTGGTTTTAGGGAACAAGTGATACTAGAAATGCATACTATTTCTGGCTTGTATCAGTGTGCCGGTACTTCTATTCATCAATATTTTGAATTGTAATCATTTCGTTTGAACAAACTGTATCTTGAGGGTTGAATTTCTGGTCGATCTGGCCAAGTTCTATGCCAAATTTTCTTATCCATGTCGTACAAGATTGGTGAAAATCTATCAGGAACTACATAAAGTTCTTCTTTTGATGTTTGATTGTTGCATGTAACTTAAACTTCAGCTATGCCAAGTGGTTCAAATATTCCGGAAGTGTAAGATTGGAAACATATGGATGTTGGTCTTAGTTTGGCTTGCAAATGAAGTTCGTGAACATCTTTTTCAGGGAGTAATGTTAGTCCAGCTCCAGAATCAACTTCGAATCTTTGAATTTTCCCAATGTAATATTTTTGAGTAGCAGATTGACGACTTTCTGGTGTATTAATGTCAACAAAACAGACTTGATTTAATTGATAGAATTCATCAAGAAGGTTGGATTTGTCACACACATATTTTGAACTACCATACCATGATAGTTCCATGGTTCCATGGTGGTAGTTGATGGTTCCATTTTGGACATCTAGAAAACTCTCTTCCTTAGTTGAAAATGCTGTCAGTGACAGTGAAATATTCTAATGTTTTTTGTATATAGTGTAAAGTTTTGTTTTGTGTTTCCTGTGCCAGTTTGGACTCTTTCCCATTCAGGTAAGCCTGCTATCCTCTCAAAAAATCCTAAAAAATCTAGGCTCTTGTGCTCTATGCTACACCCTTATATTTTGAACTAAGTTGGTTTTCAATGTACTTAATTTTTGATTTATTTTGAAGAAGAGTATTTATGAATACCTTTTCTACATGACCTTTACAATTACAGGACAAACATTTGAGGTCATTATAATTTGTACGACACGTTGAAGCTATGTGATTGTTCCTGCCACATCGGAAGCACAAGTCTTCTATTCCTGAATCTTTTAAGTCTATTTTGCATGTGATAAATCTTCTATTTGAATTTGAACCACTGTAATTTTGTTTGTTGTTGCATTTAGAAATGGAATTGACTTCATCTGAACATTCATACTGGCTTTTCATGGAAATACTTCTTGAATCTACTTTAGATGCCTCCAGTGCTAAGGATTTTTCAACCATTTGACTGAAATTCAGTTGGGGCGCATTAAAAGTAGTTCACGTATGCAGTTTTCTTTTGATTTCTCGAATGAACTGTGATGCAAGAAATATTTCTTCTGTCGACTCTTTACATGAACATGTAAACGCACATGACCTTCAATTTCAAAAATCTATGAAAAGGTTGTTTATAACCAACTGGTATGCTTCTTTGAAAATAATGGTACATTTGATGACTGCCAACATGGATTCCGAAGTGGCAGATCTGTCATAACAGCTGCCACAGCTTTCATTGAATCCATCGTTGATAGCTTAGAGAGTAAATCTAAAGTGGTAGGGTTGTTCATGGACCTCAGTAAAGCTTTTGATTCAATTTCTCATGAGTTGTTACTTTCAAAGCTCAGTAGTTGTTAAAATTTCAAAGACAAGACTTAGGCTACGACCACACGTGCGTTTTTTCACGCAGTAAAATGTAGCTCATTCCCACGCCGGTTGAAGTCCAGGAGCGGAAAAATGCAGTGGCAACCCGCAGAAAATTGACGAATTCACGTATGTTGTATATATCTTCTTCATGGCCGGAATAGTAAACTTGTTTCTGACTAGTGAACAAAAAATATGAATAGTATATAAATTTAGATACGAAAACAACACTAAAATTATTTTATTTTGTCAACCTTTCATTTAATTATTTACATTTAGTATAAAAATAATAAATATAATATAATTTTTTTATCACAAGATTTTCATCAGATCTTTGAATATTCTACTAAATAAAAATGCCTCTTTACACTTTAGTCCAACTAAATTCCTTTCCTTTAAGTAACAAATTATTAAGTGGTCCAGTAAGGTCGGCCTATGTTTAAGATAAAACGTGTAGGCCTACTGTGTAATTGGCTAGACCCAAAAATTGTTTAAGCTATCCTTAAAACAATTAGATACATTTATCTTTATTTTAACTTGCTGGGACGACTTGATCAGAGCTTCATGTTGCTCCCGCCCGTGTGGCACATATTTCTACATAAATAATGTACAATGTTTTATCCAGTTGCTGTAAACTACTATTAATTTAACAAAATATGGGCACGGCTCATATGGGCAACGTGCATTTTTGCACTTGTATTATGTTGTATTGCATTACACAATCGAAGAGTTTTCCAATGATTGAAAACATGTAGGCCTATAACAATAATTTCATGAACCTATGATGATCTGCCTAGAATAATATGAGAAAATATTGGCAAAAGTGGTGAAAAAGGCAGACACCAACATGTACAATAGATAGTTAAAAGAGAAATAATTGTAGAGTTACTGTGTGAAAACGATTTTCCACTGATTTCGTAATGGAACGTTATATTGCAACACATGGCATGATACAGAAGAAAACCAATTTTACAATCAGAAAATAACATTGGAAATACTTCTTTTGGACGATTCAGTAACTCCCAATAAATGTGCGTTGTTTAAAATACAATTTACAAATTAACAGCTGTTTCATTAAAAGTATTATCCACATGGCCAAAATGAGAACAAATCTGTAGAGGGATCTTTTTAAAGGCTTCTAGGCAGAGCTCTAAGGGAAATTACTTTGTTTTTCTGCTGATAACTTATCTAGAGACCAAGACGTTTCTTTTGACACCCCTATCAAGTTTCTACGCCCCGCCGTTCTATCAAGTTAGTAGAGACAAAGTAAATATCACTACTTTTTATTTTTAACACTAAAACAATGATAAACGTAATAAAACACACCAGTCATCGGTGCGAGGTTAACCAAGTTGTTTAAAAATACGCACGGCAGCTGTCTGCTACAATATTTTCGGAACTAAAATGAAAAGCATCTAGAAACAGACATCAGGAGAAAGCTTAGAATCTGCCGAAAACAACGATACCAATCTTGATCCAGTTCAATCTGATTCAGTCAGTCCCAGAGCCTTCGCCGTAAACGATGTTTTGTGTGTCGCAAAAGCGACGCATAACACTACGGAGGGTACATGTTGTGCGTCGATTACGCGACGCTTAACACTCGGAGGGTTAATCCACACCCGGTTACCGGATGTGTATCCTCTGTGTAACCTAATTGAAAATCAATCCAGGCAAATGGAAATTCACTTAGTCGGCAGGTTTGCTGCAGCGGGGGTATTTTTGACCATGTTTTATCTGACACTGATACCAAGAGATTATAACTTTTAAGAAGAATGAAAACAACACAAATGTTTGGTTTGTAAAATTAAAGTATCAGCACATTATTAAGTTTAAACGGGTACAGTTTTTTAACTGGGCTATGCTTACCAATTGAAACTAACTTATCAAATTGAAAATATTAGGCCTAATTAACAATCGATATTTTTAAATATATCTACTATAAAATTTAACTATCATATCCTAGCCTAACCAACCAAACGGGTACAGTTTCTTAACTGGGCTATGCTAATATCGATTGAAACTATTGATTCGATTAGTAAACCTTCATGCGATTTTTTTACCATCAGCAAGTTTGGTTGGTTAGGTTAGGTTAAGATAGTTTAATTTGATAATAAATATATTTAAAAATATTGATTATTAATCAATATTTTCAATTCGATAGTTTCAATCGATATTAGCATAGCCCAGTTAAGAAACTGTACCCACCAAACTTGCTGATGGTGAAAAATCGCATGAAAGTTTGCTAATCGAATCGATAGTTTCAATCGATATTAGCATAGCCCAGTTAAGAAACTATACCCGTTTAAACCTGCAATTTACTTCGGCATTGACATTTACTTTTAGTTATGCTACTCAGTAGTGACACATGTCAATTTTAAAGGGTTGTTAAAACTCACTGCCAAGGATTAGCCTAGGCTATGGTAGTCTTAAACTACTATGTAGGCCTACATTATTAACTTATATCATTTCCTAGGTTATATAATTTAATAAGTTGTGAAAAAAAGCCTTAACCCTTAAAATGTAAAGAATGAACCATTAAAACTATCAAATAATACCATAGGGCCTACTTACCACTGACGTGAATAACTTAATGCCGTGTGAACACCTATTAGCCTATAAATCGTTCATTAAATCTTATCTCAAGTTAGCCTATAGGTTTCTTTATAAAAACAACGGACATTCTTGCAGAAAAAGTATTTTCTCAAATGTCCTACTGAAACAAAAATAAACTCATTCACACGACGATAATTTAACACGGACAAGAAGAGACCTACTTATCCTCTCGAAAACGATACTTTTAAGTCAATTTCCAATTTCCATCCATCCATTGTAAATATAAACATTAACATTCGACTTTTACTGCTTATTTCTTTTTCTTCCTTGTTACAATATATTTTGTTCTGTTCTGCTAAACCAGTTTTGCCATCCTGTTTGGTTTGACTAACGATCCATGATTATTGAACACAGATTTATCAACTTTGTGCGGCAAAGTAAATAAATGCACGAATTAGCAGCTTTGCATGCTATAATTAGCGCGAGAAAGCCCATTGATTGTTGAACAGGCCACAAAGTTGATAAATCTGTGTTCAATAATCATGGATCATAAGTCAAACAGGATGGCAAAACTGGTTGCGGCCCGCACGCACAATTTGTTTTTCAGGATTAATTTTGCCAACAGTGTCATTTAGAGGCTTCTGATTGACTATAACGAAGGTTTAGTAATTGAAAAATTATTTTTGATCATAGAATAAAATTATAAATGCCTCAAATTCAATTTTATATTTTTTTATTATGAAATTAAACCGTCATGACCTAACCAAACCAACCAAACGTGCTGACAATGAAAAAATCGAATGAAGGTTTATTAATCGAAAAAATAGTTATGTTCATAAAATGAAATTATAAATGCCTCAAATCCTATTTTATATTTTTTTTTATTATAAAATTTAACTATCATAACGTAACCAAACTAACCAGACTTGCTAACAATGAAAAGTCAAATAAAGGTTTAACCGAAAAAAATATTTCTGTTCATAAAATAAAACTATACTTAAATGGGTCAAATTCAATTTCATAATGTTTTAATTTTAAAATTAAACCGTCATAACCTAACCAAACCAACCAAACTTGTTGATAATGAAAAAAAAATCCAATAAAAAAAATAGTACTACGGGTGGGATTCGAACCCGGGACCTTCGGATCATAAGCCCAACACTCTTTCCACTGCACCACCGAGGCCGTTGTCATCATCCGTATCGTTGGGGTAAAGATGTTCCCTCAGCCAATCAGAAGCCTCAAAATAATACTGTAGGCAACACTAATCCTGAAATAAAAATTCAGCGGCCCGCACTCCAGTATCTTAACCAAACAACACAAAAACAAAACAGAGTAATAATTAATTACAGTGTACTAATTAACATCTATGATAATCTTGATATTGTTGGCGAGCAGCTCTGTATTTTCTACGATATGACCAAAGCATTTGACCTCATTTCCCATGATATTCTTATAAAAAAGTTAATGGCTATCGGCATTAAAGGTAAAGCCTTAAAATTTGGTAGCATCTTATTTGAAAGACAGGAAACAAATTGTTAGTGTCAGGTATTCTGGGCAAGATTAAGTCGCCATTATCGATCGGCCACCTCATCTCCTGTAAACACCGGTGTACCACAAGGTTCAAACCTAGGCCCTGTAACTGTTCTTGCTGTTCGTGAACGACCATAGACAATAGAGTAAATATTTATTTCTTTTTGTCTATGGAACGACCTACCAGAATCTGTCTCAATAGGAAAAATTTGGTTATTTGCAGACGATGTTATAGCCACCTGGTGCAGGACAGAGACGAACAGATGCTTAGGTAGGTACAAAGCTCATTTGGGTTAAACCAAATTAACAATTATTGGTGTAAGGACAATAAACTGATTTTAAATAAAGGAAAACCCAAAGCTCTCCAATAATTCCATAACAGGAAAATCCCAGATAACACACCATTACTCCCCAAGTAGCACACATCGTTGGCCCAACGTTGGGAAATGGTCGGCATGGTTGGGAAATGGTTGGCAGAAATTTTAACGATTTGCCAACGTTGGCCCAACGGAAACTGGTATTCGTTGGCCCTACAAAGGAAAGGCCTTCGTTGGGTTTAAGTATAAAACATTCTAAAACGAATTTTAACGAATTGATTTATTTAAAAGTACATAAATGTTATGGCAGCAGAATATAAGACAAATAATATTGTAAAAATTTTGATCTATAATAAATGTAGTCAGATGATGTGATACTAGATACAGTGGGGAACACCTGCTTAACATATAATAATTATTATAATTTCATTTTTTGTTAAACAATTTTCTTTAACTTATTTAAGCAAATTTTTAATAGTTATAGCGGAAAGATTAATTAATTATAATTATATAACAATCAATTATAACAGTAGCCTACTAATCTAATGGTAATTAAATAATCTATATTCAAATACTATAGTATCCTCTCCAACTATCAGAAAAACAATTCAACTACTTGAGGCCTAAACAGATGAACAGAATCATATTATACTGTAGCATCAAAAATATTTTGAGTATTGTGACCATTATGCACCTGTCGGCTACTCTTTCACCACTTGAAAATACTCACAATCAACAAGCACAGTTAGCTCAGAGGTAAAGGTGTAAGGCTCACAAGGCGAGGGTACCGGGTTCGAGACCCGTTCCGGCCAAATAATTTGATCTAGTTTTTTTTCAAAATAAGATTTATGAACTATTTAATCAATTTACTCAACTCATAATTATGCTTTTCATACAAAATCTTTATTATTTTGTGTTTTTTATGTTTAAGCCCGATGGGATGGTTGGCCCTTCCGCAAAAAATGGTTGGTTGGCCAACCGTAAGACTGAGTGCCAAAACATACCGTTGGCCAACGATCGGCAGAAACGTTGGGCCAACGATTTTTGCTACTTGGGTCAAACTTGCGAAGGCACCCAGTTATCAATATTGACAATCACATAAAGTATTTAGGTCTAACCATCAGTGACAATCTTAAATTGCAGGATCAGATCCAACAAATTTCGCCCAGATTAAAAGCTGTGTGCCATATGGTTCGAAGGCTCAAGTCAATGTAGATAATGATGTTTTAATGAAAATTTACTTTGGTTGCTTTGAAAGTATTGTCAACTACGGAATCTTATTCTGGGGAAACAGTCCTCTTGCAAGCAGAATACTACTTCTTCAAAAAAGAATAATTTATAATGATCCATACCTTGCCCATTGTAAAACCCTTTTTGTTGAAGCAAAAGTAGTGCCAGCAATATTTATTTTGGAATCTGCCCTAATAGTTAGGAAGAACACGAACACGTTTCCACAAAGCAATACAATACACAACTACTCAACAAGGCAAAAAAACAACATTCATCTAAATCAAGTCAACTCAAGTTTAGTATAAAGGACGGACCAAAGTTTTTATCAAGCTTAATCTACATCTTGATCCCTCTAAAATATAAAAAACATTGAAGATCAAGATGAATTCAAGAGGAAATTCAAAGAATATTTATTGAAGAGGCATTATTCTATTGAAGAATATCTGAGGGAAAAATAGGCCATAAAAAACTGACGACCACGGCGCAGCTGCGCTACCAGTGGGAGATCGCCAAGTATCAAGTAAGTATAAGTATCAAGTAAGTGTGCTTATAAGGCACGAAATAAATACACGTTTATGCTTGAAAACAAGTTGGTAACACTTACAGATACTACGAATACGATCTGGGACCTGTTTCATAAAAAGGTATAAGCTTATTGTAAGTTGCAATAAGTATTTTCCTACAGTTACCTAACAAATGTACATGGTCTCTCACTGATTTGAGAAAGCAAAGTGGCCAATTCGCTCATCGGGAACGCGCCAAGGCACCACCACGTCAACCAACCACCACGTCAAACCACCACCAAAAAGAATTAAGAAGAAGTTTGAGGTGGCAGGTTGACGTGGTGGCTCGTTGTCGGGGTGGCATGTTGACTTGTGCGTACACGACAACCCGCCACCTCGGATAAATGTGCGGTGGCGGGTTGTCGTGGTGGTACTTTGTCGTCTACGTGCGAGGTGGCGGGTAGACGACACCGAAAATTGAGCGTACACAACAACCCGCCACCTTCGTTGGCAAAAGCGGCCGTTGTTTTTATGCCTACCCGGGTCGCCGGAATTGTACCCCCCTGGAATTGTACCCCCCGGTGATCGTTGACGTCATTTTGACGTCACGCCTAGGGGGGGGGGTACAGTTCCACCCCGTACACTTTGATTTGAACGAAATCTAATCTATTTAATGTGGGCAAGTGATCAGTGAACCGGATAGTTATATTAGATATTAAAAAGAGCAGGAGATGTACGGCCCGGAATTGTACCCCCCTGGAACTGTACCCCCCGGAATTGTACCCCCTGCCAACATCAAAATATTTACGTACGGGGTGGAATTGTACCCCCTGGAATTGTACCCCCCATCAGAAAGCCAATTGTGTACGGGGTGGAATTGTACCCCCCTCTTGGACAGCTAGCTTGGCTTGTGTACGGGCTGGAATTGTACCCCCCCACCCACTAGATAAACTTAATTGGTATTATGAAAATGGAGTAGTGGAGAATGCCTTCTACAGTGACATATGTTGGATTTTCAAACCTGTACAGAATATAGTTGATTGTACTTCACTAAGGAACTATAATTGTGAAGAGATTATCCAAAAATCTGGCTTCGCCACTTTACTTCGCCTCGGGCCATATGCATATTTTATTAATCTATCTATCTATCTATATTAGGCAAGCATGTTTCTTTAAAACCTTTTTTCTCAGCTCGTGTGAATCGTAGGGAAAATCTACGCATACCGTTGTTGGAAAGCTATTTTCCTGTAGGTGTGCAGAATCCCTTTATAAATTTAAATAGGCTCAAAGATAAGCACAAAAAATGAGTTTAAAAATTTGAAAAAATTAACATGGATCTTATGCGTTGCTATGCTGGTTACGAAATAACAACGAAATATAAACAGAAAATCAAAACAAATGGAGGAAACTCCAATCACATGTTTTATTTACAGTGTGGGGTGAAAATAGATAAGTGAGTACATTATACATATTTTTGGTCGAGTTTCGACCACTGGACGACCTCTCGTACTTATTTAATACGCAAGCAGATTTTTTGTGATAATTACTCCTCCGAAACTACTGAACCGATTGACATGTTTTTGGTGTGATTGGAAAGAGCGTAACGTGAAATTGTACAGGAAACTTTTTTTATAGGGAAATAATTAGAGAGTGAGGCCCTAAGGCCCTTTAAAGTTTCGTATTTATCCATAAGATTAACATGGGAAACAAAAATTGTTATGAAACTCCAGCTGTTGTCAGAAATCAAAAGTGAGAAGAAGAGCATATGTTAATTGTAACAGTGAATAAGTTTGCTAATTTAACAGTTTGATAAAAATATTTGCTG